TGGGCCCAGCCGTACATGAAGATTCATTTTCAAATAGACTTGTCCACTGATGACTGCTGTGCAACCCTGGATGGTCCAGATGGATGCAGTAGGAAATATGCTTTGATTTTGTACTTCTGACTATATTTAGAGATCAGTCAGATGGAAATTTAACCTTTCACTCTCAAATCTTTTGCATCATCTAACAGGTTTTCTCCCACTATCACTCCCTGTTTCTCCATTAATTCTGAGCAGCTGTTTCTCCTGGAAAAGAATCAGTCCACAGCATCATCCCGCCGCCATCATGTATTACCATTTGAAGGGTCTGCTTTTAATGTCACTATAACTTTATTCCTTATCTCTCCGGTGTGTTCCATGGTCTGGATTAATTTATGTAGAGGTATTGGAGTAAAAAGGACTAAAAAACTGTCAAAAAATGACCAAATCTTAAGTATTTTGTCCATTTTCAAGTGCAAATATCTTGCAAATAAATTTCAGCAAGATATAGTTTTTTTTTTAATTGTTTGTTTGTTTTGGGGTTTTTTTGTGTATAATGCTTTTACTATGACAAAAACGTTCTACTTCCACAGGCAGATTATTTTGCATATAGCTACACATTTTTCCCATAAGTGAAATAAACTGCCAGTAGAACTTGTACTTATTGGGTTGATCGATATCTTTTTAATCAATTTTAGGTTTGTCTTATTTCTAGTGTACTAAGATATTTGCACTAGAAACAGGACCAAAATACTTGGCAAGATCTTGTGTTTTTGCAGTGAATGCAAATGCACTTTTTTATTTTTTTTTTATTTGTATAAATAAACTAATATCAATTTCCTTACTATTTAAAGTTATACACTATTTTGTTTTGGTCTTACATAAAATCCTTCTAAAAAGAGTCTGTGTTTGTAACATGACATAATGAGGAAACGTTGATCAGAGACTCCTGAGCATCCTGAAAAGCTCAAATGAAGAAATTAAGTTAAAGGGCTTTTCAGAGGTGCAGGTATCCGTTGACCTCTGTCCAGCTCAGCATTACTGCAGGGTCCGTGCTCTGCTAGTCAGCGCTGACATTCTCGTTTTTGAAGGCACCGGCTCTCAGTTACATAAACACGAACTCTCTGTCAAATCCAAAGAGACTCTAAACGCCTCGGCAGCAATCGCAGCTCACATAAAACCCTTTCCACAAATGAAGGCCTTTACATGTGTGCACCCTAAATTATGGATTATTTAAATATCTCTAGTTAGTCTTCCGCATTTAATCTGTCCAGCTGCAGTACATTAAATAGGAGAGATGCTTGTCATGCGCAAGGAAATGGGACAATAAAGAGATGCCCAGTTCACTGAAAATGATCCTTTTCCCCATGGCTCTGTCAGGTAAGATGTACGAGTACCTTTCAGCTGGGAATTCCCCCCCTTTGTTTACATCAACATGCCCAGGAATCCCCCCTTTTTGTGGGCTTTGGATAGAGAGCAGACAGGATCTGGCACGTCCTCTTCAATGTTGACATTGCCAACGTGACTTTCTGTCAAGTTGCTCCCCCTTTGAGCCGGAGCCTGTTTGTTTTAAACCGGTGGAGGCTTTTACCCTCATGTAGGCTGGAGGTTGCTCTGCAGCGTTTTCATTTGCATCATTTGTTCCCACGTGTTCACTATTTTAGGATACCGTGATTGTTTATTGTTATGTAACGCATTTTGTTTGTGGGTGCATTAGTTTGAACTGAATAAAGGATGATGAGAGCAGATAGTGACTCAGTATATCTAGGCCAGCCCTCCTACTCTCCCTTTTCTTGCACTTAATACTCCAGATGAGCTCAACCTTCTTGTTAGATTAACGTCTTTTTCAAAGTGGGAGCTGTTAAACAGTGGCCGTCCGCAGAGAACAAGCAGCAGTCCTCCTGAAGTGTGTTTCCATTCATCCTCTGACTTTAAATCTCTGTGTCCATTTTTGTGAATGAGTCATTGACAGATAGATTTCCCAGAGGACACGCAGGCAGTTTTCCAGGACTCCCGTTTCTGCGCCATTCTGTCAACATTTGAAAGGTCAAATAGTGACCTCAGACATGAGAGGAAATGATGCAAATCTGCTTTGAAAAGAATCTGAACACATCCCGTTTTTACTTTTTCGAGCAGAAGCTGTGGCGAAAAGGAAACTGATTACTGGGTTGCTCAGACGTTAAGGGATGCTAATTTTCCTGTCCAAAATTGTTAATGTACAAATGTACAAAGAAAAATATCTGTCTGTAACTGTGGTGAATGACAATTTGACAAAAAATATTAAAAAATAAAATTCATGCAGCTCTCAGATAAACTGAGAAATTTCTTGAAAAATTTTGGTCTGCATTGTTGCTGAGGATGTGTTAAAATATGGTGGCATTGAATGGAAGCAGGAAAAAGTCTCACTTTTTTGTGCATAATCAGTCTGTTTCTTTACTTGTGCACCTCACCAATGTAATTGTCCAAATGTTATTCTTACACCTATGTACCTAGACAAGTTTACTTTTTTCCATAACAAGATATAAAAGCTACAGAGAATTCTTACCGAAGAAACTTTGTGCTCACAAACAACACCTGCAGTTTATTATTAAATATTAATTTAATGTTATTTCATAAACTGTGTTTTGTTTTTTCTCTGTCATGTGTGTTGGTTTCTTCCCTTGAACTCCCGATTTCTAAAGCACACCTGGTGCTGACCTTTGTTTTCTGTGATGAGGACCTGTTCTCGCGCCATCTTTTTTTTTTTTTTCTTAGGTTGTGAATAATATTTCAGATAATATTTCCAGATTTTATTGTCAAGAATCCAATCTGTTTTCTGTTAAAGATGACCTTACAAAGCTAAATATGGTTGTGCGTTCAATTTAAGAGAGTTGTGGGGCGAGGACTTTATCTGTGGTTTGACATTATTCATCTGCTTCGAAAAACTGTCGAAAGGCAGATTCTTTTCTTCAGCCTGAAATATCTTTGCTCTCTGGTTCAAGAATTAAAATTTTTCCATGCTGCAATTTATTGTGTAAATTCCAGCATAAATTGCTGGACTTATGAAGTTGTCCAATGCTTGGGCTTTTTCCAAGACGCCTTTTCCACGCAGAGAGTGAGTTTTTCCCCAGGTCTTGTTGTGATCTATTTGTTATAATTGACAGCGTTAACAGAGTGCAACTGGAGAAAGAACAGAGTAATCTCATCTCTAAGATCAATCCTGAGGGATTTTTTCCCCACTAGATAATTTAATGTGATTCCTTTGTCATTTATATCAAATCCAATCAAATTTAACTTGATTACCCAAAGAGGGAAGTTGATTTAATCAGGTTTACAAAGAAGTCAGTGAGAGTCGGTCAAAGGAGACATAGTCTAGCTATAAACCTGCCAATTTTCTACAACCAAGAAGTGTTACATGTGGCTATCAGGGGGTTGTATATGCATTTTTAATAGAAGAACATTGATTTTTATATTTTTTTTTATTTTATTTTATAAATGTTTTAGTGAAGTCAAGTGGCAATTGATCTAATGCCCAGACACAGTTTTCATAACTTTATTCTTTACAGGAATAACTTTTTTAGAAAATGACAGCTTTCAACAACACCATATACCCTTCTTAAATAATATCAGATTGCAGTAACCTCTAAACTCTGCAGTGTGGAAGTTGTTACTGATGGAGGAAAACTGAATTAAGGATGATGAGAGCAGATAGTGACTCAGTTAGCTATTTTGGACATCAGTGAAATGTTTCAAACTTAGTGCAGAGATGTAAGAAGTTATTTAAATAGAAACCCGTCTGCTATAGAAAATGCTAGATCTGGAAATGCAGGCAGTGTCTTGTAAACCTTGGAGTTCTGCTAATATGACATCCCAGATGTTACTTGCTATTGAAGTAATTTCAATATGTCAGGTCTGTCGTAATAATGGGTTGTTTTAAATAAGCAAAATCATGTTTTTCTCTTGCACAAACACAATGGGACGTCTCCTCTGCTCCTGATGCACAAACCTGAACTCAAATCAAGAAAGTTTGACAGAATTATTTTCAACGGCATTGAAATATTCTTTTTTAAAGAAATGGCACTGAAGTTTGTGTAGGCAGGTAGAGGCTGTAAAAAGAAATCAAGATCTAAAATCAAACACAAATCTGATTTGTGCATCTATGGTATTTATATCTTTTCTTTTTCAGTACCTTAAGGCTCTTGTCGTTTCAACTTTCGCTTCCAGACACAGTGTATATTTATTTAAACCATAAATGTATACTATAACATGAAACCATGTTGCAGTGTGGAGGAACAAGAGGAGCACCTTAATGTCTGCATATAAGCTGGCTGCATGCACACATGTTTGTGTGTTTATGAGCTGGGTCATGTAGGAAACGGGCCGAAGTTTCCGGCTATTTTTGCTGTTCCTTGATAAGAAAAGGTGTTTCCTCCGCTGTCGGGGCGACTCCTTGGGTCCCATTGTTGGGAGGCAGTGGTGATTTGTTGTGTTAGAAGTGTAGATTTTGGGTTCCTCGCCTGTCTGGACGCACGACAGAGAAGTGGACTGAAATGAGGTGGGGGGGGGGGGTCGGGTGGATCAGAGTGGGGGAAGGGAGTTAGATTTTTTGTTGTTGTTTTTTAATAGATTATTCAAGGAATCTGGGTTAGATATGGATCCCCCCCTGTTTCAACTGGACTGGCACTAACCCCGCTGTCAGTCAACCCGGCTATGACATCATCGCTGTATCCTGTGTTGTACACAGGCATCCCCACTGTTCCCGCCTCCAAGAAAACAATCCCTCTGTTGGCGTGATGACAGCATCCCCATCGAGGCCAGAGACAACACAGCACAAACCAATCATTATTGTAGATAGTGAAGCAATGGGGGACGTCATTCCTCCCTGCAGTGGCTGATTGAAGGGCGCTCTGTGATACAGACATGCACAATTGATAGAGGGGCCGAGGGGGAGGGCGGGATTATTCACAGTAATCGGCACAAATGTTTCTTGATGTGAATGTTTGCATTGATCCCACTTCCTTCTGTCTTTTGTCTTTGATTTGCAGCTGAGAAGGTGTCATCGCTTGGGAAGGACTGGCACAAACTGTGCCTCAAATGTGACCGCTGCAACAAGCTTCTGAATGCAGGAGGCCACGCAGAGGTCAGTGGGATCAAACTGTGAAAGAGCTCAGAGAAAGAAAAAAAAAAAACTTTTGTGTGGAATCACTTGGCTGCGTTTGAAGCTTTAGCAGTCCTGAATGTTTTTTTTTTCTTTGTCTCCATGAAAACATTAAATATTTGTTTTTTCTTCAAATTAGATTAAATTGCCATATAGACACTGTCAGAGAAAAGAGCTGTATTTGCTTTATGAGCTCATTAGTTTCAACCATTATTCATTCATGAGTTTTTTTTATTTAACCTTTATTTCACCAAGAAAATGCCAAAAAAGATTGCAAATCTTTTTTGCAAGAGAATCCTAGTCTGACATCTTCAAGTAAAGTCAACCTTTTTTATTTTTACATAAAATGTTTCTCCTGTTTCATATGTTTCTGTTGCCCTGAACCTTGTAGTAAGCTTTAAGTTATTTGATTACTTTTTTGGGAAGACGTCTGTGTTTAAGACGGTTTTTTTCGTCGAGGCTGACCAGTTTAATCTGTCTTCTTTTTTCACCAGTGTCAAAAAATCCACCATATTACCGTAAATGAGATGACATGGTAGAGTAGTCACAGGTCTGCAACTTTTAGGACGTTAGTATTCCTGCAGTCCATTCGTTGCTACTAAGAGCTACGAGTAAGAGCCAGAATCGATTGTTGCTTGGTGATTATCAGACTTGCAGACAGAATTTTGGCCTCTTGGACTTGAAGTGCCATGTCACACCACAGTCTTTTATAAGGTCCTGTGAAGCATCGGAGTGTTATTTTTCTTTCTCTGAGTCATGATAGGTCACAATCCTTGTGCATCTGTCACCGGATATATTTGTTTCTGCTTTCCGTTTTCTGGGCCTGTTTTGTGTGTCTCCTCGTGTCCGACGATATGTCGGGTCCTCATGGGAAGTTTTACTCCCTTTATCCGTGCAGGGTGAGCCGTTTTCAGATCCTGCATAGTCGGACTGCAGAACCACATCTCAGTCGGGTTCCCCTGTCCGCTTCTGTTTTTTGAGGATTCTCTCATCTCATCCTTTTTGATTCACCCATTCATGACCCGGGCAACTATGTGTTTTTTTTTTCTTCTTCTTAAACACTCTTCTTGATCTCCCGCTTTTTTCTTTCCTTTTGGTCAAAGAGGATGTGATCTCAACCTCTTTGGACACAAAAGCCATTTCCCCCCACAGACCCCAAAGGATGCTTGTCTGCTGTTTATGCTGTTTAATCTCTGCCTGATTACAGTACAGTAGTAGCACACAGTCTCTCTCCGAGGCCCTCGCTCGCTCTTCCCGCCATCCTTCGCTCCGTGGAGGACATCCAAGTCCCTCCCCACGCCACGACTCTTACTTTAACAGAAAAACGAGCCTCTCGTCGTCATGGAAACTCGAGGCCGGGTGACGTTTCTTCTGGAAAGAAATGTTGGAAGGGATTGTCCGGGAGTGCTGTTTGTTATCCTCGGTATGTGGAAGGTTATGAACCCCAGAAGGACGAGGACTGCTGCTTTAAAAGGAGACGGAAGGACAGGATGCGGCCCAGAGCGGCCTGACGTCTGTGGGCTAAATGGGGGCAGCAGTTCCCCCCCGAGGCAACCTCCAACGTGCGACGTGACAAGGTTGTTGACCCTGAAAGAGCATGGCTTTATTTGTTCCAGCACATTCAGAGGCGTTCTTTTTTTTTTTTAAACGCAACAATGCTGGAACATCAGAACCATCTGGACTCAGTTAACATCTATAAATCCTAATGGTCACAAATTAGCGCGTGTGCTGGTTTGAAATGTTTGATTTAATCTTTAACAGCTTCAAATCTGGTCAAAGTGAAATCCACATATGTTCAGATATGTGCATTTTCTTACAAACGGATTAAAAGCTACCAGACGTTTTCAACTGCAGCGACTTAAATGTCTGCTTCTTATCCACATTCGGGAGCTTTCGGCACTTTGCTGATGAGGACTGGCTCTTGTAGCAGCTTTAGGGTCAGCTGCATCATTTATGGGGTCGACAGTCTTCACGTGAGCCTAATGGGCCTTGATGATGCTCTGAAGCTGCCTGCACGGGTCACACACATGACGGCGTTGCACTCATGAACTGCTCATAAAAATGTCAGAATGATCAGGGACAGTCGAGCTAAATCAGTTTCTCCAATCCCAAAAACCTACAATCAGCAATGTTTTTAAATTTTTTATTTAATTTTATTTATATATATTTTTTTGCCATTTCCAATGTACAGGGCTCAAAGGCACTTAAATAACCAATTATATTCCACAGAAGGCATCTAATGTGGAAAAATGGTTTTGGTAGCATCTTGCTGTGGACGTTCTTTCATTTATCAGGGACATTATTGTTCCATTACATAAAATCCTGAAAAAGTACATTGAGGTTTCTAATTGTAATGTCAGAAACTGTAGAAAATGTTTTTAGAAGGCTCAGCTAACTGTGCTTCAAATGTAAACTCTCTTTTATCGCACTGCTCTTATTTTCAGCCATCTGAAATGATTAAACTCAGACAATACAGGAAGGAAATACTGTCCTGTTCGTTTACATAACCTGCAGCGTCGGGTCGTTCCTGAACCGCTGCTGACTCCAGCATACTAAGGCTCAAACGCATCGGAAATCCTAGAAGAAACATGAACTTTAAGATAATAAATAGGCGTTTTGTTAAGTAATAACTCATCCTGAAATGGTGGATGACAGAGAGTTTGTCCACAAAAAATAAAAAGTAAAGCAGTGAGACCTGCAGAGATGATTTACCAGCTGAAAGGTGAGCAGCGGTTTAGAAATCATAGCACAGAGTTGAAGCAAATCTCAAGTGTGTGTGACAGTGTGGGAGGTTTAATCACTGGGAAGAGAGTGGGCTTTTCTTTCAGCCGTGAATCCATTTGTGAGTTCGATTTGCATCCTGTTGGATCCTCAAATAGTAGTCCGACTCCGTGTCTTTGCGAGTCTCATTAAAGCCGAACGAGAGGGAGAGTGTGGCGGCTTTAACAACAGCTGATCCTGTCCCGGGTGATGCATTATTAAAGTCAGATCTTTTCTTTCTTCTTCTCCATCCTCTAAGGGAGAGAGAGAAAAAAAAAGAGCTCAGGTGGCCATGGCAAAGTGAGCAGTGTCTGGTTTTCCACTCATCACCCTGCAGGTCTCGCCACCTGCTCAGTGATTTTTCTCATCTATGGGCATCGGAACCTGCACACAGACCGGTGGCCCTTCACCCCTCCTCCTCTTCACACATCACATGTTTCTGCGGTGGCTAACACATTCCCAGTGTGCATCGGATTCAAGACCTTTTATGTCACAATTTGGATTATACTTTTTTTTCCCTCCTCCTTTTTCCTTGAGAGTGGAAACACGATGTCTGTCACACATGTGCAGACACAAAGCTCCCATTGAAGTGTGTGTGTGTGTGTGTGTGTGTGTGTGTGTGTGTGTGTGTGTGTGTGTGTGTGTGTGTGTGTGTGTGTGTGTGTGTGTGTGTGTGTGTGTGTGTGAATTCATCAACAGAGACCGGTTCCCTCGATACAGTAGCGCTCGTTATTTTGGGTTGAAGCACCCTGTGACGATGACTTCATCATTAGGTGGCAGAAGGGTGAAAAAAAAGCTCAATTTTTGGACATGTTCCTCCAGCTGCAATATTTTTAACACTGGGAAAGTGTGTGAACGTCATGACTTCACACACACATCATGTCCAGCTTCCTTTCTGCGTCAGACGGGTGTGTTTTATGTGCTCAAGTGGATCAGTCTGGGGGGTTTCTCCTGCTAATCATGATATGTTCTCTCTCCATGCAGCACGATGGAAGGCCCTACTGCCACAAACCATGCTATGCTGCCCTCTTTGGGCCAAAAGGTGAACTGCATTCCCCTCTCCCACTGTTACATTATTAAAAACCCATTTGATTTATTTAAGCAGTGTTTCTCGGCCGATTAGATGCATGTAATGCTCTATATTTGGCTCCTTCCAGCTGTACGTGTTATACAATATAATCTGAAACATTTCAATATAGCTAATTCATCTAATAAACATTATGTCAACTAAATGTGTGTAATTCTAAATCTTTTTTTAAAATCTTTTTACTCGAGGTGTTAACATTGGGGGAGCAGGTTCTTATGTGTACGATGCTCCAGCCAACAACAACACTGGCGGGGATTCGGCCTCTAAAGTTGAAGAGAAGCGTGTGTTCGCGCCAAAGGCGCCATCAAAAGGTATCTCAGATGCAGTGCTCCTAAAAATTCTGCTGTTGGTTTAGAATCTACGGGAGACAATGATCCGACGTTCTCTTTGTTTGAGAGTTTGATGTGAAGGCTGCAACTGATGATTATGTGAGTAATCGATTGTTCCCTGGTCTGATTTTTTAAAAATCGGCACAGTCTGTAGATTTTTAACTTAACAATTTAATCAGTTTTTATGCAATATTGGAAATGCGTTAAACGATGCAAATAAACAAAGAATCAGTTTTTGTTAAAATAAGAAAATAAACATTTTATTGCCCAAAATGAAATAACACCAGGCTTTTTGTTCACTAATCCTCTCTGACAAAGAACAGCTGGATGTACACGGAGATTAAATGACACACAGGGGGATTTTATGTAATTAGATGCCCTCCGAGGCACCTAGTTGGAAATTTAGATGTTTAATTAGTAAATTAGATGCAGAACGTAACCGGCTGCACAGAACTTAGAAGGCATCAGGATAAATGAGGGTAAATACAAATAGGATGTGAAATTTTATGAAAATCATTTGTAATTGTTCTTCCGTTTTTTGCAATTAAGATCTAATTTGTGTTTAGCTATCAAATAAAATGTAGCATGAGAAACTGTGGAGAGGCTCTGAGTGTGAATACTTGGTGTTTTGGATCCGTCGGTCTACTGAGCCTCATGTTTGTGTGGAAAACATGGAAGCTGCCGTTTAATTAGGGCACATTTCTCGTCATCTAAGGTGTTACAAAGCTCACCTCATGATGGAATCTGAAAGAAAACAATGAGTTAAGTGTCTGAACTCGGCAATATTTGGGTGTTTTAAATAAGCTTCCCTTGAAATCCATAAAACATAACATTTCTTTCATTATTGCCCCAGTGGAGTTCACACCTAGCAGTTTTCATTCATTTTTGTTTTGTACATTTGTTCTTTAGAGACTTACCTCTACATGTCTTTTTTATTATTATTATTTCCTGCAGCTGGCAGCATTACCACTTTCTCCGGCGAGGCCAACCTTTGTCCCCGATGCAACAAGAAGGTGTACTTTGGTGAGTCGTTGAAACACATCCCTGAACCCAGTATCGCAAAGAACTTTAGAGGAAGAGGCGCAGACGTGCAAAGCGCGTCACGAGGCGTCTGGCAGATGTTTGAAATATGTGTGTGGTCCCTTTAGCCGAGAAGGTGACCTCCCTGGGGAAGGACTGGCACCGGCCCTGTCTGCGCTGTGAGAGGTGCAGCAAGACTCTGGCTCCTGGCAGCCACGCAGAGGTGACGACTCACATTAGGTTTTGGGTTTTACTGTGCAGCCTAATACAGCACTGTTAAAAATATTAAATTAAAACCATCATTCATAAAACACCACACACTTTGAGTCCGTGATGTAACTTGATTGTGCTACCTGACAATCAAGTTAAGTAGCAGCGCATAGGAAATATTGACAGCACAAATCCCCCCCTTTTCCACCTCCAAGCTAACATTATGAGGAGGAATTACTTGAAAAGGTCACTTCATATTTCCATTAGCAGACTTCTTCAAGTCTTTTATTACGTCTGAAATCATCCTCTGTCTCGTGGATTCTTTAATTTAGAAGCTCTCTAATAAAAGAAATATAATCTACAAAGGTCAAGACTTGATTCCCCAGAATGTTTTTACTGCTGTTTTGTAGAGGCAGCACAAATCAGCTGTAGTCTGATTTTTGTCCTTGAATATGTAACGTTAATCTGTAGCTGTGAGAGCTTTTTTTCTTTTGTTATTATTATTATTATTATTATTATTTCATTCCATTTCAGAATAACTTTATGAAACTAATTGTCGTCGTCTCCTCCCCCATCCAGCATGACGGCCAGCCCTACTGCCACAAACCCTGCTACGCCGTCCTCTTTGGACCCAAAGGTAACCGCTAGGGGGCGCTGTCGACCCACAAATCTCCGACTGACACTTGAAAGAGAATGTCACACAAGTGTTTCTGAAAAGCCACTTTCCACTGTGACTGTGCAGCGACCCGTCCCACTGATCCTTTACCTTGTTTTTCCCCCCCTCCTCTTTGCTGCCCTCCTGACTGTTCTCCCGCTGTTCTCCCTTTCTGGTCTCTCCAGGCGTCAACACTGGCGGCGTGGGCAGCTACATCTATGACAAGGAGCCCAGTGCAGTGACCCAGCCTTGAACCTTTTGTCCCCCACACCCACCTCAGCCTCACCCTCCTCTTCTCTACATTACACTGACCAACACCCACAGTATTATGTGCTGATGTTTTTTTTTTCCCCTCCCTACTCGTTTGTTCATACCTGAGGCAGCCGTCGGTCGGCTGCGACTCCCTTTCCCAGGATCAAATAAAGCAGCACGGAGGAAAATTAACTGCACTCAAATGCAGAAAGGAGCACAGACACGTCAAAGTATCTCATATAATGCACATTAAAAAAAAAAAAATCTGACGAAGGATATTTTGTCGAGTTTCTAGTGGAAGTATCTTAGTACATTTGAAATAAGACTGAGCTAATTTACAAGTAGCTTTTCAGCAAGATGTAATAGCTTATTTTGAGTCAATAATTCTATATATTTGATTTTAAAAAGTACTAGTTCCACTTGCAAATTATTTCATTTATAACATATGGAAAAATGTCTTGTTATAGTGAAAAAATTTGCTAGTGAATTTATTTATTTTCTATCAATGTTAGGGAACTATTTACTGACAACAAGTTCCTGTATCTTGGTCAAAAGTTACTAATAGGTTAGTTGTGCCTTTTTAAAGTGTACTAAGATATTTGCACCAGAAACTAAAACTTTATGTTGCTTTCAGTGTGCTTTTTTTTTTCATTTTTCTTCACAAAAGCTAAAGCTGTTGCCACGTTTACACTGTAACACGGTTTCACAACGGGAGACTTCAGGTCTCTCCGTCTCACATATTTCAGCCAGCAAAAGTTAATTGAATCTGTCCTCCGGGTTATTTAGGGATATATATGCGAGGAAATAAAAATCTGACCGCCAGGGATTCTCAGGTGCTGCTTTGCTGCCGCCTGACGACAGACAGAGAAATTCAACCTCGGAGGCCGTTTGCACGCACAGATGGTCTTGAGGAATGGAGCGCCGTGCCAATAATTCTCTTTATTTTACAAACGCCATATTCGTAGTTTGGCTGTGTGACAATGTTGCTGCTGCGAGAGGGAAGAAATCTGAGCGCGTTATGCAAAGGTGGAGGAAAAGCATTACAAACGTGACCCTTACATATACTCTAAAACATCAGTTTGATTTGACTTTCACATGTGAGAATAATGCAAACAAAACAAAACAAAAAGAAGTTTGGAATACAGTGCCTGCTGCGTTACAATCATAAGGTTTATTGTTGTCAATAATAGTAAATGGTAATTGTTTTGAACATTTTACAAATTGGAAAAAAATGTGACATACATTGGTGTTTTCATCTCCCCTGGAGCAATGTTGTTCTCTTGAGTTGTGTTTTATAAGTGACCTATCAAAGGTGGCTCGTTGACTCTGATTTTATTTAGTTGTGCTAAAAGTTAAAGGGCCTCGCTGCAAATGCACCGAATTCTGGCGATTTGTAAGATAAGAGTTTCAAAACCCATTTTCTTTTGAGCACGCCTTGGTTTGTCAGATAAAAACCCGATTGAAGTTTGTGCTGATGGCATAAGCGAGCAGTTGGATTCTTTCACAAGGCGCCGCAAACTTGTAAGCTCAGCAGGGCGAACATGCCCCCCCAGAGCCCGCCCATCCACTACATGTTAAATGTTTTGGGGTTTTTATTTTCCTAAAATTTATGATGTGGGTGAAGTTCGGAGGAGGTTGGGTTGTGGGTATTTATTGCTTTAGCTGAAGTCCTTTAAATTTCAGCCATCGTACTGCTAGCTTCCGTTCGGAAGAACACATCATGAAGATGATTAAACAAAGCAATGCCTGCTGTACAAACTCTTTAATGATCAAGATTTATTTTTATTCTTTTGAAAAAAAAAAGTGACCCTGCTGTTGTTTTCCAGGATATGATGCTCTATTTTAAGTTTTTTTTTTGCCTTTAGCCAACATGTTAGCTTAGCTTGTAGACGTATGGACAAATCATTCTGTAAGAATGTGCATTTTAGTATTAATGTATGATCGTCACTGTTTGTTGTGCATCGTAGGGCTTCATAGACACTCACCGGGCGACGGCCTTTGTGTTTTTATTTTTTGTTTCATTGTATTTTATTTCAGGAGCTCCATTTCTGTGTTATCAAAGACGTTTGACTAATTCTGTTACTTTTTTCTTTTCATAAACTGCAATAAACGAACACTAAACTCGCTGCAGGTTTCTTCCTTCTTTTTTTTGTTTTTTTTGTTAACATTAAAAGTGAAACAGTAGGTGTAGACTGTGGCCGGTTTTCACGTGACATCCCAAAACAAAGCATGACTGTATTCTTCTCCTTTAGCCCAGAATGCAGACACCCATGTGAGACGGACCCATTGTCTTTGTCTGTTGCTCGTTAAATCAGATCCATCCTGCAGTGAAGAATAGATGATGCATGCCTTCCCCTCGCGACAAAACCTCATCTGTCAGTGCCTCACTTCCTAAAGGAAGCACAAAGTATTAGAAATGACTAGATGCCATCGTGGTCGCTTCATTTCCTTAAGTGGTGGCTGACCAAAACAAGGATGACTTTGCTCCACAGTTTCACTTTTACATCACCTGTTAACTCTGGTGTTGTCTTGCGGGTCAAAAGTGACTAGAAAAAATAAACGATCTTTTTCCAACTTAAAATTGTCTGACTTTTCCTAAATTGAACCCATCATTAGAAAAAGTGACACTTTGTTTTTGTTTTCCTTTTGGACAATCCTAGGGTGCAAGGATTGTCTTATGGCTCATTTCTAGCCCATGATCTATAAAATCATTTCAACGGCAGAAAAAAGTTCAAATGCCACACAGAAACTGTCTCAAATACATACACACACACACACTCCGGATTCAGTCGTTTCCAGTCATGGGTCTCCGTTGCTCTGGGCCGGGCCGCTCCCTGAAAACTCAGAGGAACTGTTGCCAGGATACAAAACAGACAGAAACATGAAACGGAGCCGCTGAGCCGCCCACGGCGCGCGCTTTCACTGTAAGCCCGCGCACGCTCTGAGAGCTCACTTGATGATCAGGTATTCCAGGATGAATCGATTGTTGGAATAATCGTCAGCAAATTTAGTGATCGACAAAAATCGTTCACCGCACTGCACGCTCACAAAAGACCAGATACTGGAAGAACAGCACACTCTGAATGGGAATCAATCCAACACTGCACAACAGATAGTGGACAGTGGTAGTTTTGGCTTCACCTAATTCAAATTCTGTAAAGAAAAAAAAAAGAATTAAGCATCCATTTATCTTTCCAGTCATTAGTTGGTAAATCCAAAAGTAAGATCAGATCAGCTATATTCTGTATTGACATCCCATATTATTACAGGCAACACAATCTACGCTTTCTTCTTCTAAAAGGAGTTTGAAAACTTTGACATTTGAAAACTCAGGCATTCCTAATGTCAAAAAGGCTCAAGTGGTTAATGAGAAATCTGCATAAGGTGCCAACTTTTTAAATGTGATTAATCCGGATAATCAATAGATTATTCGATTACTAAAGTGAGTGTTAGCTGGAGCCCTATTTCCACCACAAATGAAAGGTGCTGTTAGTTTCATATGTGCAAATTGTGGACTACAGTAAACACTGTTTAAGAATCCAGATTGGGTGGATGTTGTGATGCATTGAACTGCAGACGCAATGCAGGGTGGAACCGTGTTTTCAGATTCTCGTCCAACCGTCAGACTCTCACTGCTGAAATCAAGACGGCGCCGGACCAGGCAACGCTTTTCCAACCTGCCATTTTTCAATTTTGGGCGAGTCTGTAAACTGCAGCCCCGGTCTCCTGTTCTCAGCTGACAGGAGTGGCAGCTGAGAACAGGTTGCTGTCGCCGCCACTGCCACTGCCACTGGGCAATCCTGTTGTGCGTTTGGAGATCTGCATGCATTGCTTGCAACAAGTGGATTTTCAAAGCTACAAGCCTGCTGGTTCTCCTCAAACACCTACAAGACATTTTCATCCCAAAACCCGCCGCTGACACCATATTCACTCTCTGTTTTTGGAGCATTCTCTGTGAACCCAGGAGATTGTTATGCAAGAAACTCTCAGCAGATTTGAACAAACATTCTGAGACCACGGGGATTTAAGTTCTTTAAATCCCATTTCTTCCCTGTTCTGATGCTCAGCTTAGACTTCAGGAGGTCGGAGGTCGTCTTCTGCATGCATTCCGCTGATGCCGTGCGATTTGACTAATTCACCATTTGTCTGAACTGCTGTACTGTCCGCTTCTGACCATACTCATGGCTACTGATGGGGCCAAGGGAAATAATTGGAATCACTCTGAAATAGAAATAAATCTCAGCAAACCATGTGATTATTTAATAGATTTTTTTTATTTTTATAGTTTGCAGAACTGGTTTCCTCATAAAAATGATATAATTTCCTCTCTGTTTCTGGACTTGCTTCTCTGAGGGGATTATAACTTTGTTTCACATCATAAAATCATATTTCCACCGTCTTATTCCCTAAATAGGTCCTGCATACTTCCAGAGATTCCAACATTTTCAGCAGATGTCTGAACGCTACAGCTACGCGACCAAAGCAGCCACACGGGGGGAAAGGCCACTAAAATGAAATCGGGATACGTCCCCGGGGCCCCGTCTATTTGGCAGGCCCCTCCTTTCAAAGTCCCATCGCAGTGACCATGATTGTGTCCTGCCGTCAAAGTTGGCCTTTTGCAAAACCTTACAAAATAAAAAAAAAACAACAACCCGCGGTTCAACTAAACACATTTTTAGCTCGAGTGTTGAAACAGCAGCTTCAGAAATCTGAACACAGAACAACTCCAGGCGACCCGGGTGTGTCGATAAAAAACTGAACTGTACTTTAGCTAGAGATGGAAGAGTTTGGTAGAGCTGAGAAAGCTGAATCCTGAACCGCCTCACTCGTCATGAGACCTGGCTCAACTGCACTTCTAGCGGTTTTCATTACAAGGTTTTGCATCATAAGCACTAACAGATGCACGATGCTGCAAAAATACATTTTCATCAAGAAATTTGGGTCGAGTTTCTAACATAGGCGAATGTCTCAGAACTGACTTACCAGTAGCTTTTCAGCAGGATGTAAGAGCTTATTTGAAATCAATAATTGTTTCATGCTGATGAAAAATACTTGTTCTATTGGCAGATTCTTTCACTTTTAACGAGATGTTAAATTTCCCAGGTTATAAGCAAAATAATCTGCCAGGGGAGCTTGAACTCTTTTTGTCAATAATAAGGAATTATTGACGTAAAATAAGCTCATATCTTGTTGAAAAGTTACTTGTAAGTCAGTTGTTTTTGTTGTTGTTTTTTTTATATTTCAAGTGAACTGAGATATTTGCACTGGAAACTGGACCAAAAACACTTGATGTTGTGTTTTTGGAGCATACAACATAATCTCTCTTGCTTTTGCTTTTCTTTTTTCACTTGTTTTCCCCTTTTCTTGTTCTCCTGCTTGTTTGGACGGCATGTAATAAACCAAAACAAAACTCCACACAGCTGTTAAGATGAAGAAAAATATACAATTTTAACAAACACGCACCTGAAGCCATTGGGGCGCTTATTAATACCACATCAACGTTTATGGAAAATTATTTTATTTCCACAAGTCCAACAGGTGTTAGTGCTTTTTCTTTTCCTCATAATATCAACTAATATGAGAGCTTTTTTTTTTTATTGTGGCTGCAAAGTCACATGTGCATTGCGGCTCTTTAGCAAGGAGGAACCACTGAGTTCAGACGTGTGATGTTACACTATTCAAATCTCAAAACCACATGTAAAACAGAGTTGAAACAGTCAAAAAAAAGAAATGTATGTCGCTGTGTAAGATCAGAAAGAAGTGTAATATATTAATACATTAATTTTTCATATGTATGATCAGCTTTGTAGACGTGAGGGACGCTGACGTTCACAAATATGTACAAGAAAGTACATTTTTGTTTTCTCTGGCAAACTGTATCCATCAGTGCGTCAGCAGAGACAGAGACAGAGTCAGTGTTAAGTTTTAGAAGTGAAAGCTTTGTCAGTCCTAAGTAGCATGTTTTTAGGCTTTTCTTGAGGCAAAACCAAATCTAGACTTCATAAAGTGGCTGAAGACAGAAACATGGATCAGTGGGGATGATAAGAAGAAGAAAAAAGAACTAATCTTAGGAAGTATCTTAAAGGAGCTAATTGAAGTCATTTTTTAAAAACTAGGAATGACTAAGATGCAACAAATGCTCCTTTTTCTATTGTTTTGAAACTTAAGGTTTAACTTTGTAACGTGTTAAATCAGCTAAACATACTGATGGCTTCATATACCAAGGCTGCTTTCTGCACCTCCGTTCTTTCAGCAAACTCGTCACACGTTCATGTCTGCAGTCGGTCGTTTAATTGCGCCTCTCTCTGTTCCAAACATCCGACTGGATGATGAGCCCGATTTCCAAACGCGGATATGGACAAGAGCAGGACACCCGAACACCACAACCTCCTTGCTGCCCTGCCCCCCTGACCCGGGGGGAGGGGGCAGCTTCTGCGGCTCCAGCCCAGAGCAACCCCACATCAACCACCAGCCCACTCAGGTGGGCCGTCAGCTGTTTTAAATCGAGGAGAGAGACGTGAAGCCATGGCAAGCTGCCACTGCCGGGGCGGGAAGCCAACCCTTCCCTCTCTCCACCTCTGAATCCCCAGCGCCCACCTCTCTCCCTCAGGGCCCGACCAGCCCAGTTCTCATACTTTCGTTGAAGGGAGCTCCGCTTTTAACTGATAATCTGTGAGCACAAAGTGCCCGGATGTCCTTATCTGACATGAGGCTGGGCCTCGCTTTTCCTTGGCCGGTGGTCAAAGTCGACGGGGTCAGGTTTTATTTTTTACTTTTACTTTCCTCTAAAAGCAGAGCACATTAACAAGATTCAGGTGATGGTTCAGTTACTGGGTTGGGAAGTGAGAACGACAGGAAGTGGAGGGAAAGTAAAGTCTGGAGGAAGACGCATTGCTGTTGTAGGAGCCTCCTTTCTTCAGACGTCTCTGAAGAAAACGCAGAGGCAAAAGCGCCTTCGGGAGCTCACTGATGTTAGATCAGTTACATAACATCCCTCTACACCCATCGGACAGACAGGAAGCAGCTGTGAACCCAATCACATGGAACAGTGGACCCGCCGACCATCGCGTCTACGCCGACTCTTTCCCCTCCTTTGTCAGCCTTTCCTGTTTTTTCCCTCTTTTTA